GCAGCAGCAATGGCGAAGAGAAAAGGACGCAGCAGCAGCGACATGGACGACGCAGAAACAGCTACGACGATGGTCGTTTGGACGCGATGACGAAGAAGAAAGGCAGCTTGCTTGGCGTTTTGTTTGGAGAAGATGGAGTTCGTTGGAGCTTCTGGTTTTGTCGACGTTGGGCAGCCATGGTTGGAAGGTTTGGAGCTTTGGGAAGATGAAGAAAGAAAGAGGGGGGGTCTCCTAAGTTTGTTTTTAGGGTTTTTGTTTTTGGGTTTCAACAAGAAAAAATGAAAAATGAGAGGGGGTTGGGCGGATGGTTTAGTTATGGGGCGGACCGGGTCGACCCGGTTTGAAATGGACCGAGTCATGGGGAAGATTGGACAATTGTTTGGGCTTGGGGTTGAAATTTAAAGAAATGGCTCAATCCAATTTTTCTTTGTATTTTTGCTCTTTTCTTCTTTTATTTTTCTAAAACTAAATTATAAAAGTACTTAAATTATTATTAAGAAATAAATTAAGTTATAAAAGCGCAAATTAACTCCCAATAACAATTAACGCATAATTAAGTAACAATTAAGCATAAAATTGTATATTTGGACATTAAATGCTAAAATTACAAAAGATGCCTATTTTTGTAATTTTCGTTTTTTGTAAACAAACTTAATTACTAACAAATTGTAGAATTAAATCCTACATGCAAAATGCGACATATTTTTTGTATTTTTTATTAATTTAACAAATAAACATGCACAGACAAATACAAATAATTATCCAAAAATATCACAAAATCTCACAAAATTGCACACCAAGGAAAATCATTTGATTTTGAATTTTTTTGGCAATAATTCTCATATAGGGCAAAAATCACGTGCTTACAGCGCCTAGAGCAACTGTGCATTTGACTAGACTGAGATATCCTTACGACTCAACCTTACTTCTAAGTTATTGCTAACAGATTAAAATCATAGAAAAAAATTGAAGGCACTACTCAACTTGCAATTTCAGCTTGGACTTGGAGAAATATTAGCGGAAAGGGTTTTAAAAAAAAAATAACTGTAGCTTTGGCTACTGAAATTTGTAAGGCAACTATAGATTTATGTACACACAGTGACCAAGCAAAAGAACAACCAAGCTCAAATCCTTTTAATATTCTGTATCCGCATAGCCTGCGACCATTCTCAAAATTAATTCCAACAAACCATATAATTCAGAACCCCACACCATTAGATATAACATTATCATCATAAAAGGCATCAAAGGTTCTTATACCACACTATGATTGTCGCAACAAATAAAAACAAACAGAGAAGATTGGAACTGCTTATGCTAAGTGAACACAAACTATGAAATTATCAATTAACAAGCACAAATCTATCACATTCATGAAAATATCCAACAGATACAACCAAATTAGTATGTAACATGAACATCATTTCAATGTAAAATATTTATAAATTGACAAAATTTGTGATGGAAAACAAAAGCAGCAGAATTTAAGAAGAGAGAAACGGAACCTCTCATTAAATGGCTAACCCGAGCCGACGTGCAAGAAGTTCGAACAGAAAACTTTATCGGACCAAAGCTCGGACCTCGACGGAAATGGGAGCTCAAACGCGAACAGAAATCTGAAAGCAACCTCAAGTAACCTCAACCGGAACTCAAATCAAAAACTTCGAACGGATCTCACAAACGAGTTTCAAAAATGGACTCAGCCTCAAACGACAACTGGAGTTAATAATCAATTGAAACTCACGGGTAAAATGGTTTCTAGAGCAACAATCTGCTTTGCTCTGTCCGGCAAGGCAGCAGCTTCGAATGAAGGAAGCAAAAAAGTCGAAATCAGCAGTTGCTGCTGCTTTTGTGAGGAAGGTCCTCGGTTAAGGTCTAGGTTCTTTGGAATGAAGAAGCCTCGTCGGTTTTTGTCTGTGGAAGGAAGGTCCTAAAATGGCTGTTATGGAGTTGTTTTTGAAGAAGAAGAACGACGTGAGAAAGGGAGAGGTGGGCCCCAGGTCTGCGGGCGCTACGTTTTTGCAAAATATTTTAGGCCTCCTCCCCTTCAGATTTTTTAGGTGTTCTCTTTATGTAGAGTCTAGGTTTAGGTTATTATTTTGTGTATTTTGTCAATTAGTCCCTAGGTCTTTTTGTGTTAAGTCCTTAGGGTCTTTTTTTATTTATTTTTGTTCCAAAGAAGAGTCTAGAAAAGTCCCTAAGCTTAATGGACAAATCTGAATTGGGCCAAGAATTAGGCTCTAAAACTCTTAAAATTGTGATCCAACACCTTAATCGACTCATTTTAAAATAAGATAAAAATATTACACAATGCAAAAGCTAACATGAAACTATTATATATTTTTTGTATTTTCAAAATTTTATAAAGATAAAAATAAGGTACTATTTTTTGTATTATTATTATTATTATTTAATTATTTTTTATGAAAGATACATACTAAAATTTTTTTTTTTTTTTGTAATTTTCCATTTTTATGACGAAAATAAAGTAAAGAAGTCAAAAAATAGTTGAAATAGCTATATTAGACCTAAATTAAATATTTATGTGTTAAAATATGAAAAATCTTGGGGCGGGTCAAAAATCACATGTCTACAGTGATGACATCCAAACTGCATCATTACTAGATATGATTAAATTTGGTGACTTTGAACCTATCGATGTGAGTAAACCATTGCTTTCCCCTATGGCGTATAAACTAATAGTGGAAGAAAGATCTCAAGAGAAAAGTGAATCACGTGATGATGAAACTGAGGATGAAGGTTGGATTCTTGTGACTCGGCGGAGACGCTGCAAAAAAAATTCACAAAGGGAGTCAAATAAGCAGTTGACTAGGGGTAAAAATGGTGAAAGGACCCAAGAAGAAAATGATAAAAAAGAACTAAAAGAAAGCAAAAATGGCTGAGAATCACTATCAAAGGCTACGTCTTCCAGTGACATTGGAGGAATTCCTGCCAAACTGGTTACACCCGCGAGCTTCCTGTGAATATATGAAGGCCTCATGTTGTAAGATAGATGAAGAAGAGACAAAGAAGGAGGGTCCATCATTGCTGCCACCTCCCTTGCCTGAAAAACTCACTGGGAATTTTGAATAAGTGGACGTTTGTGATGCAAAAATCACATTTACTAATGATGATCTTTTGCTTGGTGAAACATACCATAATCGCCCCCTATTTATGGTTGGCTTTGTGCGAGAACAGAGAATAAGTAGAATCTTGATCGATGATGGGTCTGGTGTCAATATTCTCCCAATTCGTACTATCAAAGAGCTTGACATACCGATGGATGAACTATGTGAAAGTCGTTTGATGATTCAAGGGTTCAATCAAGGGGGGCAAAGAGCTATAGGGGCTATCAAATTGGAGATAAATATGGGAGATTTGCATTCGAGTGCATGGATGCACGTGATTGATGCAAAGACCTCATATAATATCTTGTTAGGAAGGCCATGGATATACGAGAACAAAGTGGTTTCATCCACCTACCATCAGTGCTTGAAATATTGCGAAGATGGGGTCGAAAAGAAGATAGTTGCTGATGATAAGCCCTTTATTGAGGCTGAATCATACTTTGCCGATGCAAAATTCTACTTAAAGAATTACGTCTCAAAGGAGGTTAAGGTTGATGAAGTAATATTGACCAAAATTGTTGCAAAGAAGGTTGAGGTCACAACTAGCAAGGAAAATATTACAGTTGACCAGGTGCTTCATTATCGGAACAAGATGAATAAGGCATCTTCAAGTAAGAAAGTGGCTCATCTTCTTCGCTATGTCCCGAAGACAAGGAAGATCGAAGATCCATCTTCTGAACTACAAGGTAAGGTGATAGGAGACTTGACCCTTTCTATCAAGCGAATAGATGCAATTAAGTCATCAACAAAGTTGCTTAAAGGGTTTGTCAAATCATCAAGCCACAATTCGCTTCTAAATCTAGTACTTCATGCAAAGCGCACAGATAAGGGTTTTGACCCAAACGCCTACAAGTTGTTGGCAAAAGCTAGATATGATCCCAACGAACCATCCAAGTTGGGAAAGCTCCCGCCTGAAGCTTCAAAGCCTACTCAAAAGATGATGATGGAGAAAGGGTACCCACTAAAGCAATCACGTGAAGGATTGGGTTACAAACAACCCCCGCCAATCCGTATCTCCATTAAAAGGGCAAGTTATAACTACATTACTACTAAAGAAGTGTCTATGACACTTAATAAGAAGCCTTCTGTGTTTGATCGACTTACGAAGACAAGGACCTCAGTCTTTGATAGGTTGGGACCACTGAAGAAGGAAAACAAGCGTCATGGAAGCGATAGAAGGATTGGAGCACCTATCTTCGCTAAAAAGGAGATTTTAACCACACAATGCCCAAGTCTGATTCCTTCTAGAATGAGGCGAGAGACCAAACTTGTAGTTTCATGCAAAAAGGTCCTCAAAGCAAGGCTCATACTATAGTACACACTAAAGAACAGAGGAAGATGAAGAAAGTGTGGGGTCATCATATCATATCACCATTCATGACGAATAAAATGCTTCATCTTATACGGAAGCCGAGGAAAAGTGCCTTGATATTCATGTGTGTCGTCACATATCTTTCAATGATGGTGATCCTCAAGAGGATGAAAACGTTAAAGATGCACAACCTGAGCTTGAAGAAGGGGTGAAGACAACGGTTGATGCACTAAAAGAAGTCAATCTCGGAGTAGTTGAAGATCCAAAGCCCACATATATAAGTGTCTCTCTAACTAATGATGAAGAGGGCAAATATATTGAGCTACTTAAGGAATTAAAAGACGTATTTGCTTGGAGCTACAAGGAAATGCCAGGTTTAGACCCCAAAGTGGTTGTTCATCATCTTGTTGTCAGACGAGGTGCTCGTCATGTGAAGCAAGCACAACGTCGCTTCAGACTTGAACTGGTTCCCTTGATTGAAACTGAAGTTAACAAGCTTATTGAGGCTAGTTTTGTTCGTGAAGTTAAATATCCTACATGGATTTAAAGCATCGTCCCTGTAAGAAAGAAGAATGGCCAAATCCGAGTTTGTATTGACTTTAAGGACCTAAATAACGCTTGTCCTAAGGGTGAATTTCCTCTTCATATCCCTGAGCTCATGATTAATGCAACAACTGGATATGAGGCGATGTCTTTCATGGATGGTTCATCAGGATATAATCAAATTCGCATGGCACTGAAGGATGAAGAACTTACTGCCTTTCGTACCCCTAAAGGTATATACTGCTACAAGATAATGCCTTTCGGTTTGAAGAATGTTGTTGCTACATATCAACGTGCCATGCAAAATATTTTTGATGACATGCTTCATAAAAACGCAGAGTGTTATATTAACGACTTGGTAGTAAAGTCAAGGAAGAAAGATGATCACTTGCAAGATTTGAGGATGGTATTTGAACGACTTCGGAGATACCAACTCAGAATGAATCCGTTAAAGTGCGCTTTTGGAGTTACTTCTAGGAAGTTCCTCGGTTTTATTGTTTGACATTGAGGTATCGAAATTGATCAAGCTAAGGTGGATTCTATCTTGAAAATGCCCGAGCCTAAAGATATTCATGAATTAAAAAGCTTGCAGGGTAAGTTGGCATATATTAGAAGATTTATTTCGAATCTGGCTAGAAGATGCCAACCATTTAGTCGCCTCATGAAGAAAGGGGTTCCTTTTGAATGGGACCAAGCTTGCAGAAATGCTTTTGAAAGCATTAAGTCTTATCTGATGAAACCTCCAGTACTGGCAGCCCCCATACCTGGAAAGCCATTAATATTATATATTTCAGCACAGGAAAGGTCAGTAAGAGCGCTTCTCGCTCAAGGAAACAATGAAGGCAAAGAAAATATGCCTTATTACTTGAGTAGGATGATGACGCCAAATGAGCTCAAGTATTCGCCTATTGAGAAGTTATGTTTGGCACTTGTCTTCTCTATTCAAAAGCGGAAGCATTACTTCCAAGATCACGTTGTGCGTCTCGTCTCAAAAGCGAACCCTATCAAGTTTGTCATGTCTAAACCAGTCCTAAGTGATCGATTAGCGAGGTGGTACCTCTAGTTTCAACAATTTGAAATTGTGTATGTTCCTCAAAAGGCAGTAAAAGGACAAGTATTAGCAGACTTCCTAGCTGACCATCCGATTCTAGATAATTGGGAGTTGTTTGAAGAATTGCCTGATGAAGATGCAATGGTCATAGAAATTCAGCCTCCTTGGAAGATGTATTTTGATGGCGCTGCACATCATGAAGGAGCTGGCATTGGAATAGTGTTTATCACTTCTCAAGGAGAAGTTTTGCCCTATTATTTCACTCTGACACAACGGTGATCCAAAAATGTTGCTGAATATCAAGTGCTCATACTTGGGCTTGAAATGGTTGTGGATATTAAACAATTGCAATTAAAAGTTTTTGGAGATTCCAAGTTAGTGATTAATCAGATTTTGGGTAGCTATGAGGTCAAGAAGCCAGAGTTGGTGCCATATCACAAATATGCTCAAAGACTGGTAAATTGGCTTGGAGAGGTAACTATTCAACACGTGCCGAGAAAGGAAAACAAGAGAGCTGATGCATTAGCAACCTTAGATTCTACATTATCTTTGCCTGATCAGACACAAGTCGTTGTTTCACAAAGATGGGTAGTTACTCCACCAAATGACTATGAGGAAGAAGAAAGCGAAGTTGAGCATATTGCTTCCGTTCTTGAGGTTGAAATTGAAGACTGGTGACGACCAATAATAGATTATCTTTGTTACGGTATATTTCCAGAAAATCCTCGAAGGAAAAAGGAAATCCGAAGGAGAGCCCCTCGTTTTCTTTATTACAAGAATACACTCTACAGACGATCATTTGATGGAGTGCTCCTACGTTGTTTGGGGACTGACGAATCCCTTCAAGCATTGCAAGAAGCACACTCTAGAGTATGTGGTGCGCAACAATCTAGGCCAAAACTTCATTTCCACATAAAAAGAATGGGGTATTATTGGCCAACCATGGTGAAAGATTGTTTGGATTACGCTCGAAGGTGTAAAGCTTGCCAGTTCCATGCTAACTTCATACATCAACCACTGAAAGTATTACACCCAACTGTTGCTTCTTGGTTATTTGATGCTTGGGGTTTGGATGTTGTTGGTCCTTTGCCAAAGTCTTCTGGTGGACATCTATATATTTTGGCCGCAACTAATTACTTTTCGAAGTGGGCAGAAGTTGTTTCTCTTAAGAAGTAAAGAAAGAAAATGTAGCTAACTTCATCCGAGTCAATATTATCTATCGATTTGGCATTCCGCGATATATATTGACGGACAATGGTAAGCCATTTGGTAACAAGTTTATGAATAAAATATGTGATCTTTTTGGCTTCAAGCAACACAATTCCTCCATGTATTATGTTGTTGTTAATGGACTTGCTGAAGTATTTAACAAGACACTCTGCAACTTGTTGAAAAAAGGTTGTTTCTAAGTCTAAGAGAGATTGACATGAAAGGATGGAAGAAGCTCTTTGGGCATACAGGACCACATATCGCACACCAACACAAACAACTCCTTATTCACTTGTTTATGGAGTTGAAACGGTCCTTCCACTTGAGCAACAAATCCCATCGTTGCGGTTTGCATTCAAGAAGGAATCATCGATGAAAAAAATGCTCGGTTACGCCTTGAAAAATTGGAAGCTCTTGATGAAAAGAGGCTAGAAGCTCAACAAAGCCTTGAATGTTATCAAGCTCGCCTGTCTCGATCTTTTAACAAAAGGGTACGCCTTAGATCTTTCCAAGTGGGTGACCAAGTTCTTGTGGTCAAAAGGCCTATTATTACCTCTCGTCGATCTGGGAGAAAATTCTCTGCTAAGTGGGATGGACCATATATCGTACAAGAGGTATACTCAAGTGGCGCTTTCAAGATAGTTGACTCGGAAGGTTTGCATATTGGCCCCATCAACGGGAAATTCATGAAGACATACTATCCTTGAAGAAAACAAATATGCTCCTTAACGCACGAGCATAAACCGCATGTTACTCCTGGCCCGCAAGAGTATAAACTATGCATGGCCCACAAAAAAATAAATAATAAAAGGTCCACTAGGTTGAAAACCTCAAAAGAGGCGACCTAGGCAAAAGTTAGGGCATAAAAATAAAAAAAAATCACCCAGTTTGAACTACGAATGACTTGATCCTCTTCACCGAGGTATGTAGGCAACTTAGAGTTTCATTCTAAGTTCAGTCATATGAGTTCAAAAATACATATTACCCAAGTCATTCTTCAAATGAGATATGATGGAATATGATTCACTTGATTGACACTTAAAAATTGGGTGTACATGTATTCTTTCGTTGAACTCTCTATCTTATCTTGATGGCTTAGCGGGAGCAAGTCCTCTATGTCAAATTGAGGTCTTTGATGGAATGATTGTAGTTTGTTTAAGAAGTCTCCGATTTTAAATCAAGTTGATTTTTGCCAGGTTTGTTATATCATCAATTTGAAGTGTTCAAACTGGCTAGTTCTTTAAATTAAAGTCTGCAAGCATGTTAAGGCTTCAAATCCATAAAGCACTAAAAAAAGTCAAGAACAAAGGGGAACATTAATGAGAACACACAATATAAAGTGACGCAAAAGAAGTTTTATTGCTGATGAGAACATCTACTAAACAATTAAATGCGAGAAGAAAAGAAAAAAAACAACAAATAAAGCAATGTTTATAGCCTAATCTAAGCACAACTTGTAGTTGGCCAAATCTTTGAGCATAGCTTCCAAATATTTCTTCTTCTTCTTCTTCAAATCGGCCAAGTCATCAGCAGTCAACGAGGCAGTGCAACATGCATCATACTCCTTTCTAATAGTTAAGGCTCCTAACTTGGCTTCTTTAACTTCTTTCTCAGCGACTTCTAAAAGGGCTTCTAAGTTCTTCTCTTTTTCACGGAGCTTCTTTATCTTCTCTTTCACTGTAACTAGGGAATGACGGATAAATGACACTTCTCTAACCTTCTCTTCTTCTTCAATCATGGCATTTGTAAGGTGTACCTCAACATCTGATATTGCATTCTCTTCAACCTTCTCAGATAAATCCGAGCGTGTCTTGTTATATGAAGCAACAAGCTCAAAAAGGGACTCTAATAGGTTTCTCAAAGGGGAAATATCTACATCATCCCCACCCATTGCCTCAAGGATCACTTTAGTATTTTCTTCAAGCTCAAATACATTGTCTGCAGTGCTGCCTTTCAGCTTACGCTGAATTGAAGTCCAAAGCTTCAAGATAAACTCCTTTCGGATATCCAAGACAACCTTCTTTCCATCAAAAACTGAAGCTGCAATTGTTGGTCGTTCACGCAACTCAGAGCCCGACTTTGCCCTAATTCCATCATGAGAAATAGAAGTTGCCTCTTGATCTCCCTTGGTTGTGGAAGATGATTTTTATGGGTTCGGTCCTGCTATAGACTCACCACTATCTTGTGGCCTTACTCGTTGCAACGCTCCAATGTTATTAGCCTAAAAAAATGATAATAAATAAATAAATGTAAGAACACTTCAGCAAAGCCATTTGGGCCATGGATAACAAAAAATAAAAAGTTTATGTTTTCTTTTACCTTCTCGTTCTGAGCTGTTAGTGTTCTTGAAGGGCTATCAACGCTTTGGACCTCTACAACCCCTTCTAGATTTGGCCTTTTCTTTTTCCAACATTGATCTCCTTTGCTGCTATCACTCTTCTCTTGGGATATGCGCTTGTTAGAGGCATCAACGACTACACCAAATGGAATAAGACCTTTGTCAGCTGGAGCAGGGATCTCATCTCTTCGAATTTCTTTGTGTAGCATGGGTCCGTTACCTGCGCGCATCTCAACAACCTTAAACTGTAAAAATGGAAGCTTATCAATCACTAAGACATCCTCATTGCGGTCTTGAATGGTATTTGTGATGGGCTCAACAGTATTCATCAAAAATTGTAAGTGGTCTTCAAGAAGGCTTCCATGTGCCATTGCCCACCAAGATCTATAGTTAGACAATGTAAACTTCTTCATGTTGGACCCAAAAGGAGGAAATACTGCCCTCGACTTAGATCTAGTCAACACACAAATTCGCGCAAGTCTTAACCCTTCTTCTAATGAGGCTTGACGAAAATCTTGCTCCAAGCGACCAGGGGTGTCTTAATAAAAACCAAATTGGCGGCTAAATCAATGAGAGCTATAAGGTTCAATAATAAAGTTGAATCCATCCCTTAAAGGAAGATAATTCGAGCGAAACTCTACCCATTGTCTTCCTGCACCAAAACGAGCGGACTTCTTTTCTTTCCTTAAAGGAGGCTAAGCATACTTCATTGTCTTCCTGCACCAAAACTCTACCCATTTTTTCGCAGAAACCTTTGGATCGTTGCTATCTCTCTCTCTCTCTCGTAGCCGATGGAAGGCATCAAATAAATGCTCACAAGTCTGGGGAAGAAACCTTCTCCCCTTGTCGTACGTGCCTGTAAGCTCTTTAACATTTGGCACAACTTCCTCGTAAGGAGATTCTG